ATGCCATGATAACAATGACACAGAGAGTACTGCTTTCCTTTTATCTGTGTACAGGGTTATCTTGCTGTGTCTGTGTGTTAATTTACATATGATTCTCCAAAATAGTATTTATTTTCTTGTTACAAAAGTTACTGTATCTCCACTGTGAAAAGCATATATGTGAATGTGCTAAAATGCCACTATGGCAAAGACTGAAGACAAAGGGTGGAGAAATTCTTCCAACTCTTGTAAACCTTCAGAGAACTGAAACTGACAACGTTCATTTCCGCTGTTCTGTGGTAAACCACCTCTGGGCTTTGGCTGAAGCAATGCAATGTGAATTGAGAAGCTGGGGGTGGGGTCTGAGGAGTTAAATTGCTCTGTCTACTAACAAAAAACAAAAAGGCCTCTGATGGCCATTTCCTTCATGAAGATTAGTTCTAGGAGACCAGAGAAAAACAGCAGTTGATGGTTTCACTATTGTGCTCAATAGATTTTGTCAACAAAAATCTTACTAAGAGGAAAGGGAACCTTAAGTTGCATCCATCAGTTGGCCTGTTAGCAAGTCGAGGTGGGGGGGGATATATTTTATTCATAATTGATGTGGAAGGTCCAGCCTGTTGTGGGGAGTGCCTCACCAGGGCAGGAGGTCCTGGCTGCTCTAAGAATGTAAAATGAAGCCACTAAGTGCTATTTGTCTTTAGACTCTGCTTCTCATTTGAGTTCCTGCCCTGATGTCCCTCACTGATTGGGTGTGGAGTGAAATTACAAAACCAAGTAAGTCCTTTCCTTCCCCAAGACATTTTGCTCCATGTTTTATCAAAGCAACAGAAAGAAAACTAGGGCAAATTTCACAATGATAATGTTCACTCGTGAGAGGTGCATGCTTGCCGAAGCAACCACAAATGGCACTAAGTTTGCTGCTCTCCTGTGGGAATTTGTTTTTTCTTCTGAGTTCAACACCCAGATAGTGTAGCTGACAGACCAAGAAGAGAGGAAACAGGATCAGGGGAGGAGGTTCTATGAGGAAGAACCTCCTCACTGGTGATTATTACCAAAGAGATTCAAACATTGCCTGAGCCTCAGACAAGAAAATGGTTGGTAATTTGATGAGCTGGGGTGGATGGGGAAGGGAACTCCCCTTTTCTGAGGAATTGGAAGGGGAGGAAGGGGACTGGGAGGAATGCAGTGATGGAGCTACAACCAGGATGTAAAGTGAATAAAAAATAAATTTAAAAAAATTAAAAGTTAAAAAAGAAAGAAAATACTTAGTCTTTATTGATATGTTAGAAAGCTATGTTACTAGAAACAGCATCCTAGATAATATTTGAGATGATACATAAGTGTCTTGCAAGGCTGTTTGCTTATGTAGCAATAGCCATGCTTCTGTGAGCTTCCTACTGTTTGCTTATTCCTCACCTGAGTCTAGTGTCAGCAAAAAAATTATATGCTAGCTCAATGTTTCTCAACCTGTGGGTCATGACCCCTCTGGCAAACCCATGTCTCCAAAAAAACATTTACGTTGCAATTCATAACAGTTGAAAAATTACAGTTATGAAGTAGCAATGAAAAGAATTTTATTGTTGGGGTCACCATGACATGAGGAACACATGTATTAAGAGGTCACAGCATTAGGAAGGTTGAGAACCAGGATTCTAGAGGAAGGATGTTATCTCTGCCCTTTCTGTGTATCCTCTCCTATTGACCTCACACCCCTCTGTGCATCCTATTTAGGCTAACAGCCTGTATTAAAATCACTTTTTTTAATTAAATTTATTTTTTATATTAATTACAGTTTATTTACATTGTATACCAGCTGTACCCCCTCCCTCGTTCCTTTCCAATTCTACCTTCCCTCCCTCATCTCCTCCCATGATCCTCTGCAAGTCCACTGATAGGGGAGGTCTTCCTCCTCTTCCATCTGACCCTAGCCTATCAGGTCTCACCAGGACTGGCTACATTGTCCTTCTCTGTAGCCTGGCAAGGCTGTTCCTCCCTCAGGGGGAGGTGGTCAAAGAGCATACCACTGAGTTCATGTCAGAGACAGTCCCTGTTCCCCTTACTAGGAAACCCACTTGGACACTGAACTGCCATGGGCTACATCTGTGCAGGGGTTCTAGGTTATCTCCATGAATAGTCCTTGGTTGGAGTATCAGTCTCAGAAAAAAACCCTGGGCCCAGATTTTTTGGTTCTGTTGCTTTTCTTGTAGAGCTCTTGTCCTCTCCAGGTCTTACTATCTCCCTCTCCTTTCATAAGATTCCCTGAACTCTGCCCAAAGTTTAGCTATGAGTCTGAGCATCTGCTTTGATACACTGCTGGTATCAGACCCTCTGTGGTATGCTCCTGTCCTGCTTCCTGATTTCTCCTTCTTCCAATGTCCATCCCATGAAACTGAAAAGCTTCTGTAAATTAAAGGACACTGTTGTCAGAACAAAACAACAGCCTACAGACTGGGAAAGGATCTTCACCAACTCTATATCTGACAGAGGGCTAATATCCAGAATATATAAAGAACTAAAGAAGTTAAAACACAACAAATCTAGTAATCCAATTTTAAAAATGGGGTATGGAGCTAAACAGAGAATTCTCGGTAGAGAAACACTTAAAGAAATGCTCAATGTCCTTAGTCATCAGGGAGACACAAATCAAAATGACCCTGAGATTTCACCTTACACCCATCAGAATAGCTAAGATCAAAAACTTAAGTGACAATACATGCTGGAGAGGTTGTGGAGAAAGGGGAACCCTCCTCCATTGCTGGTAGGAATGTAAACTTGTACAAACACTTTGGAAATCAATCTGGTGCTTTCTCAGACCATTAGGAATAGTGCTTCCTCAAGATCCAGCTATAACACTGCTAGGAATGTATCCAAAAGATACTCAAGTACACAACAAGGACATTTGCTCAACCATGTTCATAGTAGCTTTATTTGTAATAGCTAGAAGCTGGACACAACCCAGATGTTCCTCTGCTGAGGAATGGATACAGAAATTGTGGTACGTTTACACAATGGAATACTACTCAGCAATTAAAAACAAGGAGATCATGAAATTTGTAGGCAAAGGGTGAGAACTAGAAAAGATCATCCTGAGTGAGTTATCCCAGAAGCAGAAAGACACACACAGTATATACTCACTTATAAGTGGATACTAGACATATAATATAGGATAAACATACTAAAATCTATACATCTAAAAAAGTTAAGCATGAAGGAGGTCCCAGGGAAGATGATCAAAAAGACAAATGGGTTGGAATCACTCTTAACCTCACCTCATAGCTCCTTTTTATGGCTAGACCCTTGATAGCTTTTAGCTTTCTATCATTAACCCCAATATACAGTTTGGGAGCTTAGTGTATTTGAGTTGCAATTCATTTGATCCTCCCAAACCTCTATGACAAGGAGACAGAAATGCTGCACACACACACACACACACACACACACACACACACACACACACACAC